TTGTAGAATTTTTTTTTCTATTTTAGTCATCTTGGCATTTTAATTTATTTCTTTTTGTTCTTTGTCCCATTACTCTATCTCTCTCTCTCTCTCTCTCTCTCTCTCTCTCTCTCTCTTGCTGAGGTCAAATCCAGCCCCTTTTTTATGCCAGGCAAGCACCAAATCTTCTACTCTGAGCTACACCCCAGCTTGGGTTTTACTTTGTATTTCACTATTCACATGCTTACTATTCACACTGTTACTAAGGGTCTGTTCAAATCTTTTGCCCCATTGTTTTGTAACAATATCTTTATCTTGTTAATTTGTATATTCTGGATAAATGTTCATGTCTCATTTAAGTATTAAAAAATCTTATTGCGAGGATTATCATTTTATAATCTTAATGGTAATTTGATAAACAAATTTTGATTTCCATGGAGAATACTTACCCATTTTTCTCAACCAATGTTAATTTCTCGTTCTTATTTATGCTCTGCTTAAATAAATTTTTCCTATCCAGTTATCATGAAGGTTTTCTCTGAGATGCCTTTTATGTTTACAAACCACATTGATTTGATTTTCACATTATGTGAAGCAGAAGTCAGCGCTCTTCTTCTAATGTAAGTAAACTTTATTTTTCTCAAAGTACTGCAATAACAATTTTCTTATAATTTAAGTAATGTCAGCTTGTGGTTCAGTTTCTAGGATCAAATTTATTCTACTATTTAAGTTCAATGTTATATGTGGGTAGAAAATATATCTCAACAATCCTATGGCCATCATACCAGGAAAAATACATTTTTTTTCTTATAAAGAAATACTTTGTATATAAAATCCTGGAGTGACAATGAAAGATAAAACATACCATGTACACAGTAACAAAAAGAAAAAAAATAGCTACAAAGTATTACACAATGGTTCAGGCATTTGGATACTTTTTTGTTGTTGTTCACATTGTCCTTTTTTTTGCAAATACCTAGCTGTCTTAACGAACTTTGTAATGATTCTTAATTTCTGAAAGTGTAATTCTCCCTGCTCTTTTATCATCAGGCTTGTCCTGGCTTTAGGGGCTCTTCTAGTTTCCAAATACATTTCAGAACCTATTCATCAGTTTTCATGCATGTGCCATCTTAGAGAAATCTGACTGGGATTCTTGATAATATAACACATACACTTGGAAAGAATGTACATTTCTGAAGTCACTGTCTACATAGGCAAGAGATGTCAATTGGTTGATCTTGACTAAATTTATAGTTGCTTGTTCCAGCAGTTGCCTTCAGGTTCTATTAAATGTAACCAGAGCTTATCTATCTTCAGAACATGCAATTGTGCATAAACAAATTTAAAATTTAATATTTTTGTTAAATTAGTTTTTATGATCATAAACTATTCCCTTTTAATCCCCAGATATATACTTTGCCTTAAAATCTTTTTCTGATACTTTATAGCTTTTTATAGAACTTTTGGTTAATGTGTACATGATATATATTTTATATTTTTACTTCCCTTATTTATATAATTTTAAATTAAGGTATCATTAAATTTGTGTTTTTACTAATATGACAATCATAGACTTTTATTGAGGTATTTCTTCTCACATTTAACATAATCTTGATGTATTTACATTTTAATACAATCTTTTTGTTTTATTTTCCTTTTTGTCTCAGTTAAGATAAATCCTGTTTTAAAAAGTGATTTCATTTTTCTTCTCTATTTTCTTGTTAATCAAATGCTTTTTATTCTTTTGAATGCATTGTAGATGCTGTTTTATCCAATATAGTAACTCTGAGCACGTGGGGCTGTTTAAATTAAAATTAGATAAAATGACAAGTTCAGTTTCTCAGCCCCATTAGTGGCATTTCAGGTGGTCAACAGCCACAATGCACCGGCTGGAGTATGGAATGTGTCCCTCATTGCAGAACCACACGCTCAGCCGTACTGCTCCATAGATTGCCACCTGTATTCTTGACTTGTTGCTATTTTTCTTAAATGAGTACCCTTTCTACTTCCAGAACAATGCAAGAATAGCCCTAAACTTTAACTCTGTTTAATTCCTTTCTCCCTTTTAAAATGTGACTTCATGAAATTGAATCATCTAAATAGTTTATCCTCATAGGCCATGGTTTTTATAGTTTGCAACAGTCTGTGTTTATTTAGATTTCCTCAAATATCTGTTCTTTCTCAAATTTTTCATCCCTTCCTGCATATAATTGCTTGTTCTTCTGTGATTTTTTTTTTTCTTCCAAACTGGAAAATTCCCTTTAGCTTTTCTTTTGCTGCAGGGTCACTGGTGATAACATCTCTCAGTTTATTTTGCCTGAAAATATCTTTAGGCTTATTTTAGAATGCTGGCAAGATATGAATTCTATGTTGGCAGTTACTTTCATACAGGCTTTTGATAATATTGTAAACTTTTCTTCTGGTTTTGATGTATTTAATAAATATAGAACATTTCAAATTATCCTATTTCTTCTTCTTCTTTTTTTTTTGCATCCTTTGG